TATATATATATATATATATTATTATTACTTGAAATTATATTTTTACCTACTATAGTTATTTGTTAATGACCACATTAGTTATGTTTATCTGATGTTTAAGTACAAGTTTATTAGGCATGTGGTCCCCATTTGTTAGTATGTTTCCCCTCTTCGTTCCTGCCAGTGGAGGCAAAGGAGGTGAGGTGCCTCTTTATTTTTATTGAAATTATAGTATATTCTAGGTTTCCTATCTCTTGTTTGCCTGCTCTGTTCTTGGTTTTTGGTTTTTGATCCATCAGGTTCTACACTAGTTTGGTATCAGAGCCAACTACGACAGACAGCGACAAAACTTCACCATGGGACGATGATCATAGCTGGGACATTTTATGGGAGTCACAGGCGTGTCTCGAACAAAGGGTGGGCGACCTCGCCACCGACTTGCAGCTCTTTGTTATTGAGATGTGGCAAGGGCTTCAACTCCGTTGCAATGGGGTATCGACGATTCTGACAACCACACCGACGGTCATGGCACCCACGCCAATGACCAAGGAGACCACCAATAGCAATCACGGACGAAGGGCTACGCAGCAAAGTTATCCGCCTATGGGTCTAGATTATGGCCATATCGACGGAGAAAAGCTACACTAACGACCATCTCAATTCTCAGATTCCGAATCAGATGAAGAAGAGCTTCTCGAGGAAACTCCCAATCGCATTCAACTGGCTAGGGATTGTTTTTACAGCGATTATAAAGTAAGATTGATTTTCCTTACTTCGGTGGCCACCTTCATATCTAAGATTATTTGGCTTGGGAGCACACCGTAAAAGTCTTCTTTGAATATATGGATATTGATACAAAAAACAAGTGTGTTGCGTCACTTGTTAATTGAAAGGTGGAGCTGGGGCTTGGTGGCAGCAATTGATTCAATCTCGCAGGAGAAAGGAAACCCATCAAAAGTTGGGTTCGAATTGACGCAACTTCTGCGCAATCATTTCTCGTTTTTCAATTATGAACATATATTGTATGTGCAATTTTGAAGACGCGCCCAAGGAAACCGCTCTATCAGTGCTTACATCGAGGAATTTTATCGTCTTAGCGCCCTTAACGATCTATGTGAATCTTACCAGCAAATTGTGGCTCACTATATTGGAGGATTGAAGCAGGTTGTACAAGACAAATTGGAAATGAATGCTGTGTGGTCACTATCAAAAGCTGTAAACTATGCCTATAAGGCTTAACTTCAGATAAACAGAACCCCCCGTTCATTTATCAATAGAAAACCAGTTGTTGAATCTTTTATAGGGGTAATAACCGACCTCCTCAGAACTGTTGGTTATCCCCAGTACCTACACACAATTCAAGCGCCACATCAAGCGAAAGAGATGCTAAAGCAATCGGCAAAACAATGACGCATAGAGATAACTTATATCAACGACCGTGCCTCATGAAATGTTATAGATTTTTTCAACCCAGCCATCGATCTAATGATTGTCCAAATCGAAGACAAATTCAGCTAGCACAAATAGTGACAATAAATTTTCGGAGCATAATTCACTCAAGGGAGTTGAAGTGGAAGATATTCAAGCCGATGAAGAGGAAATCCTAAACTGTGTTTTGAGAGAATGCGCTACTCGCTTCGAGGCAACCTATTAATTCCAACGCGATGTTATCTTCTGAACTAAATGTACTATTGAAGGTAAAGTGTGTGATTTAATTGTTGACAGTGGTTGTACCGAGAATGTGATATCTAAATATGTCGTAAAAACACTCCAATTAAAGACCACCAAGCATCTCAAGCCTTACAAAATTAGTTGGATTAAAGGAGTCGTAGTTATGGTTACCTAAATGTGCAAAGCAACATTTATTATTGGGAAAAACCTTATTTGTGAAATCACATGTGACGTTATTTAGATGGATGCTTTTCACCTGATTTTGGACAAACCATGACAGTTCAATTTTGGGTGGTTGGTATGATGGCTGATCGAATACATACACTTTGAAATGGAATACAAGAAGATACAAGTGCTGCTATCTACACCATTTCAGACTAATAACACAACAGGGAAATCCCAAAATTCTGCATACTTGGTTGTTTCAGGTTCCCAATGGTTGACAGATTGCAACAAACATGATGTGGCATTGCAGTTTTATTGGCAAAACAAAATGCGGCCCCAAAACAGGTGCACCCTTTAGTTCAAGCCCTCATCCAGCAGTTTCCGAACATCACACCACTTGAGTTGCCTGATCAATTACCTCCTTTAAGAGCCGTTCAAAATCATATTGATCTAGTTTCTAGATCCAACTTACCGAACCTCGTCCACTACCGCATGAGCCCCAAGGAACACTTGAAACTGCAAGAGATTGTAGAAGATTTATTACAAAAGAATTTCATCCTCCATACCTTGAGTCCTTGTGCTATGCTGGCATTGATTGTGCCTAAAAAAGAAGACTCCTGGAGGATGTGCATAGACAACCGCACCATAAACAAAATCATGGTAAAATTTCGATTCCCGATGCCTCATATGGAAGAATTACTGGATAAGCTTGCAGGAGCTGCCGTTTTCTCATAGTTAGACTTGAGGAGTAGTTACCACCAAATTCGCATCCGTCCAGATGATAAATGGAAAACGACATTCTAAACCATGGAAGGGTTATAGGAATGACATGGTTTGTGCAACGCATCTAGTACTTTTAGAAGGCCGCTACATGAAGTTTTGAAGCCATTTATTGTTCAGTGTTGTATCGTCTATTTTGATGATATTCTTGTGTGCAATTCTTTGGAAGAACACATAAAACTCTTTAGGTTGTCGTTCTTCACTCTTTGAGATCATAAAAAATTCCTGAACTTGGATAAGTATGAATTCGCCTTAAATGAAGTTCATTTTCTAGGCTTCATCATTAGCCAAGCAGGTGTGAAAGTGGATCCAAAGAAGGTAGAGGCTATTCAGTCTTGGCCAACACCCAAGTATATTACAAAAGTTCGTAATTTTCATGGACTTGTCAACTTTTACAAGCGCTTTATAAGGAATTTTATTAGCATCGCTTCACCTTTAACGATTGCATTAAATAGAAAAGTTTTTATTTGGGCCAAGAACAACAAGAGAGTTTTTAAAATTGAAGAAGCATTTAAGTTCATCTCCTATATTGGGGATACCAAAGATTGACAAACCATTTCAGTTCGAAACTGATGCATCGGCCGGAGGAATAGGCGTCGTTCTGCCACAAGAAGGAAAAACAATGGAATTCTCTAGTGAACAACTGAGCATTACACATCAAAAGTGGTTTACATATGTACAGGAACTATATGCGGTCTTTCGGGCTCTAAAGAATTAGGAACATTTTCTATCAGGACCTCATCATATTTAGTGATCTTAGCCCTTACAGTTCTTACAAGCTCAAAAAACTCTCAATCAGATGCATGTACGATGTGTTATGGTCCTCTAGAATTTCAGTTTTGTGGTGAAGCACCGTGCCGGTCACACCAACCGTGTAGCCGATGCCTTAAGCCGTAGAGCAAGCTTGTTAGTTATTGTCCAAGCTAGCATCATGGGTATGGAGAGCCTACGAGAGTTATATTATGACTATGAAGATTTCTTCCTTGCATGGCTGCATTGCAAGCAACATATTTCTCAAGGAGATTATTCTATTTAGCAAGTTTATTTTTCATGAGCAACCAATTGTGTGTAACTAACACATCTCTCTGACAACAAATTATTCAAAGCTGTCATGGAGGAGGATTGGCAGCTCATGTGGGTAGGGATCGAACATTAAAACTAGTGCAATCTAAATTCTTTTGGTCTAAACCGAGAAGAGATTCACAGATTTGTGGAAAAATGCTCCTTATGTCATCATTATAAGGCTGCGAGTCAGAATACTGGCCTTTATTTGCCACTACTTATTCCAGATTCTATTTGGGAGGATCTTAGCATAGATTTTATATTGGTTACCTCACACTAAACGCGAATTTGATTTCGTAATGGTAGCTTTTTGATCGCTTTTCCAAAATGGCTCATTTTGTGGTATGCAAGAAGACTTATGTTACTAATTTTTTTTTTAAAAAAGAGATTGCACACCTTCATGGCATCCCAAGGAGTATTACATCTGATCATGATGTTGAGTTCATAAGTTGTTTCTGGAGGGAATTGTGGAAACAATTCAAGACGGATCTCCGATTGAGCTCCATTGCCTATTTAGTGTCATATTTTCTCCATTGCGTCCTATTTAGTGTCATATTTAGATGAGAAATTACCCATAAAAAAAGAAAATTGGAAGGTAATTAACCTAGTAAACTAAAATCCATTCAACGCTTTAAAACTTTTTCTGCTAAGAACATTGTGGTTAGTGGACTGCACTTGAAAGGAAGACTAAAGGTGGATTGCCAAGGTGGCTGAGGACATGTTTAGTGGCTGAAATGGCTGAATCGAGTTGAGAATTTGATACGCTGTTTCAAAGATTTCCACAAAGATTCCTAAACCAACCAATGTTGCAAAGAATTTTCTTGGATAATTGGTCATTAATAGCAATAACCTAAACAAGTACAATTTTTTTAAAATTATAATAGAACTTTCAATTTTTTCCATGTTTTGCTATCTCCTTTTTGAGAAACTTTGACTCATATATGTAATTGAGATGCGCTTGCCTTATTCCATCTTTTAGTCACTTTTGACGGCAAATAGTTAAAGGGGTCCAATTCTTATATATTTACATATCTAACACCTAAACTTTCATATTGAGATACATGCCAATAAAATTTTTGGCATCACAAATAAAATTCCACTGTCACTAACTTTTAAAAATGAAATACACTGTTTAATGCATATGAAGTTTTAGTACTAAAGCGTTATAAATTTAAATATCAAATTTTAGTGTTAGATATCTAAATACATAAGGATTGTGCGGTATGTATGTAAATTTCTCATAGTGAAATTACTGTTTTTTTTCTTGTGACCTTGGTCTTTTTGAATGATTAATGTGTGGAAATTCTTCTGTGGAGATTGTTTTAGTATTATTCATTGTGATTTTTGTTCGTGGGTGCAATTGTTATTGTGCATTACTTATTCTCGCAGCCTTTTATTCTTGTGAATGTCTCTGAATTTTTTTTTTGTCATCAAGTAGAGTCTTCTTTGTTGCGCTTTTCTGTCATTAAGTACAATCTTCTTTGTTGTGCTTAACTTTGATGCCTGATTATTATCTTGCAGTTCTGCCAAGCACTTTCAGTGGCAGTTTGTCCACAAGCCGAGTCACCCGGCTGTCTTGTCCCACATTTACTACATCTCGACAGCTATTTCAGAGATAAGTCCCATTGGCACTGGCCCTTCGGAGATAAGATGCATGTATTGGGCTGCTTAATGCTGCAAAGCTTATTTAAAAGTTCAAATGTAAGCTGCTTGCAACTATTTTTGGCAATCTTTTTTTCAATTTGGGTTCAACAATCTAAATTGATTATCCATTACTTGTTTTGAGATTTTAAAATCTTAGTAAGAGGAAATTATTTGAATGATAATATTTTTTATATGACGCATTAGTTAGGAATAATGAACAACTCCCGAGGTGAATTTGAAACAATTATGACATTGACCAATATTGGACATTACTACTATGTTAGGAATGTACTCTGCCTCCATTGTGGGATTATTCTTTAATCTTGCATGGATTTTAAGAAAATCTCCTGACATAAGAGTCCTTTAATCAGCCATCACTCCCCTCTTAATTGAAAGCTTTTTAACACCATAATGCATGGTGCACATGGAGGCTATCTTAGGTAAGCGGAGCTTGTGTGATAGTCATCCATTCTTGAATGCTGCTTGATGATGATTGAATTAGCTGAGATATGTGTCGTAAACTGCAAATCATCAGCTCTTTTATCATTTATTAAGATCAAGTAGAACACTAGGGCCCAATTGAGCCTCATATACCAATGAATGGGCACCCATCAACCCAAAAGCTTAGCTATATAAATAAGGACCACTTTTAATATATTAGGAATTTAATTTTTACTTTTACTTCCTGCGTGGGATTAATATCTATTTTCTAGGGGTTTTTAGCATGTAGTTACATGCTAAACAAATGGATTTAATTAAGTTTTCATTTACATGTGGTTTTTTGGTCATGATTATGCTTTCCTTTGGTTCGTCAATAGCCACTATGAAGACTCTCATCAAGGCTTTGTTTGGCACGCCTTGTACTTCGTTAATTTCTGTTATGCTTTTCAACCACAGTTTTCTTTTAAGCCATAATTTTTGAAGAATATGAAAAACTGTTATCTTAATATACACTGCTTTTTATTGACCGCTTTTCCTATCATGAAAAATGTTAAGAATGTTGTCTTAATATACACTGCTTTTTATTGACCGCTTTTCCTATCATGAAAAATGTTAAGAATGTTGTCCTAAACAAAATCTAAATGTATTGTAACTTAGCATTCATAAGCAACTATTTTTATATTTGAGGTAGGTTCTCAACAGAAGTATGCAATGATCAAAATCTACTAATTTGTCAGATGATGCCTAAAAGGTTTGACTTCAAAATAAAATAGGCCCCTTAATATCCTTTCTATACCAATTGGCTTGAGCTTTGGGTTTGGTGGATATTCATCCATTGACATAGCGGGTTCAATTGCACCTCATGTATTCTATCCTCCTAACACTAAGGCTCGTAGTTGGCTTTTTCTCTTTTAAGTTTTCCTGCACTTGTACCCTAAATAAATTGGTAAATTATAGTGGAGCGGTTAATCATATTCTGTTTGTGAAGATGCTTTAATCATATTTTTAATTTTTAAGTTCAATTGAAGCCAAAGCTTATTGGCATCCATAAGGTTTTTTTGACGAGTATTTCACTTCAATGATGAGATGTTGATTTTCTTTCTTGGCATGCTAGAGCTTAAAATGTCTTTCCCAGTGTCTTTCTCAAGAAAGTCTGAGCCTAAATGTCTTTCTTGGCATGCTAGAGCTTAAAATGGCGCAATTCTGAGACTTACTAAAATTTTTTTTCATTATGCTTGTTCAGTTGAAGGTAAACATTTTGTAGTGTTCCCGAGTATTTGAAATTCTACAAGGCCAAAGTTTGTAGCCTTATATTGTGTAGCTGTTGCAACATATGGTTTTTAAAAAATAGAATCATCATTAATTAGTATTTTCCAAGTATATTGGGTCTATATTTTGCTTTTTCATTTTTGGTTTATTTTTATTAAGCGTTCTTTGAGTGTTAAATCGTCATATTCAACAACTTCTTGTTATAACATCTTAGGTCTACTCTACCCACTTTTTCTTAATCAGTTTATATTAATTTTATCAACTCATCTAACAGTTGTATACTCTACTCTTTGTTATACATATCCAAATCGCTTGAGAGCCATACATCTTATTTTTCAGTGGATGTCATTCCAACCTTTTATTTTTAATTTTCTTTTGCTCCAACTTTTTATTTAATGTAATCATTTCTTTTTTTTAATTATAGCTTTGACACAAATCAATTGAATCGTTCTCATTTTTTGTGTCGCTTAATTTAAATATCAACGATTTTTTAACAGTTTAACAGTTAGATTCATATAACTTCATTGACTTAAATTATGCAACAACAATATCAACGACCCTTTATCCCACTAAGTGGGGTTGGCTACATTAATCTTTTTTCTCTATTATGTCCTATTGAGTACCCTGTCATATTTTCATTTAATTCTAATATAATAAGATCATTTTTTATACTATATGCCCAAATACTTTTAGGTTTACCTGTGCATTTCTTAACATAAGTTGAATCTAAAATATCTACTCTCCTAACCATATCATTAGTGGTCAACGCATACCAAAAATTTTATGCTAGTTGTCAATTACCTAATGCAACCCTCCACTTTTCCCATCTAAGTCTTAGGGCTCAGCAATGGTAGTGGTATCGACTTAAATTATGATTTTATAAAAGATATTTTTAAGCTTTTGACATCTTCTTTTATACAAAACACACGACAAACTTCTCCATTTTTTTATATAATTTTAGCCCTAGTATAAGAGATCCAGAATTCCTAAACCTATCACATGTAGGTATCATCTTATGTTTTAATATATGAATAATAATCGTTAACATCATATTTAAATGTCGATGCTAGCTAGCTTTCTGAAGTTTTTTTGACATTGTTGTCATTCTCGTGTGATTGCATCTCTTATACTTTAATGGAAAAATACAAAAATGAAAAAAATAAAATACTCACCGATAGTACATATCATAAATATAGTCCTTGTTTTACTAATTTTAAAGTTTTTATATATTGAACATATTTTGCATTGTTTCTATTTTTTTCTTGTTTTAGGATGTATTATTGATTAGAATTATATGAAATGCAAAAACCATACAACAGATCTTACATTAAATCTTATTTATAAGCACCCCCCTAACCAATACGAACAAATATGGAATCAATGGTTATCATTGATATAAACTTACTATGATTGAAAATTATTAGGTCACTTCAGTATTCCATCATATATCCATATATCTATATATATATATATATGCAAATGCAAATTTTCAATCTTAAAGAAAGTAGACCAAGTTAATTCCACTTTTACTCAAATCATATGCGTCATCAAGGTTAATAAAATTTATATGAAGATACTTTTTTTAAACTATTAACTTCTATATTAATTCTCTTAACATAAAATATTGCTTACATAATTGATCATTCTGACATGAAATTAAATTAATTCACAGAAGTGTATGATTAAGAGGGTTTTTTTTGCTGCATTTATTTTCATTTTCTGCTTTTTATCAGCTCTCCAATGAGTGCAAAATTGCTATCATTATTTATTTGGCTATCTTAAGAAGAATGATGACTCACTTTGCCCGGATCCAAATACTATTTTAGATTATGTTAATATTTAGTTTCGTGTAACTTGATGTGCATGATAGATAGTTTTGAGAGTTTGAGATGCGATAGAAATCATTGAAAATCAATTAAATTTTGCTAGTGTTCTTATTGATGCATTTTAATGATTTAATCTGAGTCTAAAATTTTAATTATGCTTTTTTTATAGTCTGCAATAAGGCCTTATATTGAGAGTATAACCTGTATGGAAGCTGTTCATATATTGGAAACTGCTAAAGATGTTGGAGGTTGTCATGTTCTCGAGGCATTTCTTTGTTCAAATGCTTCCGCAAAGCAAAAATTCAAAGTTACTACCAAGTAAGGCTTTTTTTGTCATTTATTTACTTTTTTGTCATATATTTAATTATATAGTATCTCAAAATGATTTTAGAATTGTTATGTATGTGTCTCGTTTCTATTTGGGATTATTGCCAACTTAACTTATTAGAAAATTTCTAAGGCATTGATTTTTAAAAGTTTTATTCTACCATTATTTATTAATTTGAATTTTCAGAGGCGTTACTTTAACCATGAAATGAACACTTAATGCAGTGGACAATGTAAATAGACTAAGATTTATCCGTCAATGTTCAACTATAGTGACATTATTGCACTGAATTCTGTTGTAAAAAGAGGCTTTTGAAATGGAGGAATTGACTTTCTGGATCGTTACGGTCCTCTAAAAAGCGAAACATGCACATGAAAGTGCAAAGATGCGGTGATGTTTTTATGGTTTGCATGTATTGCTCCACATTTCAACGCATAGAACATGTTTAACTCTCGTGACTTGTGAGCCTGAGTCGGGAGCAGTTTGTTTTGTCAATTGAAGGGATTTTAGGGTGAAGTTGGTATAGATTTTATAGTGTTGTTGCCACAACAAGCGTGATGCACATTTTTCAATTAACAACAGGCTTTGCATCTTGCATTATTTTTAGGTCTTCTCATCCTTGTTGTAGTTGTAGATGTCATGTCATATGCCCGATCGGTTGCAACAAAGACTATAGGCAGCCACAAACACAATAGGAAATTGGACATGACAGATACATCGTGATAAAGATAGCCTCCGTGTGCAGGACATGCAAAACACATGCATAGTCTTTTATTTTAAGTCCTTGGTGTTTTTTAACCCCATTTTTATATCTTGTAGACCTCTTTTACTTTTGTGAAATTTTATTCAATTATTCACATTGATTTTTCTTAAAGGTACGCAGATGGCACATCTCAATTTTAATTAATTTTTAATGTGATTGCTAGCTGGTAATGCTATTCCATGTTAATATTTGACTTAAAAATATCATTGATCATTTAATAATTATGATTTGTATAGATGTTGTTAAATATCATAATACCATCTAATTTCCTTATGATGTGTGTGCTTTAATTAATTGTGCCTCAAAATGATCAAACCCCTTTGTGTGTCACACTACATTTTGTGCTTTGGCAATCTTAGCAGTGATGCTTTGAAGGTGATTAAGGGTCTGTTGGGGCAGCTTGTGCGTTTCAGGATAAGGATAAGCTGCTTATCCTGAAATGTGGCCCGCGGGCCGGCCGCGGGGGTTGACCTGCGGCCTGCGTTTAGTGTAAAAACCCAAACACAGTTTTGGATAAACTGGCGAAACGCGCGAACCAAACAGTACAACGACGTTTTGAAAACGCCGGCTGCACTTATAAGCTGCCCCAAACGGACCCTAAATCTGCAACAGTGGATACATCTTTGGGAATTGTTTGGTGGTGATAATGAGTTGATGGTAAATCTATAAATGCTGATTTGGAAACTAGATTCCATGGTTCCGTCTTCTCGGGTCTTCGTGATCCCTAATCTACTTAGTTAGACGAGGTAGTCGACCGAATCTGACAAAAGAATTCTTGTCAGCAGTCATAGATTGCGTTGTCCAAGAGATCCTTGTAGACCTAGGATATATAGTTCTGTAAGGGGGTAAATTTAAGTCGACCTTAGCTGACAAAAAATTTTGTTCGAATCAATTGTATCTTTATGATTCATAACTCAAAGGATAGAAAGTCATTGGTGGAACATACTAGCTGCGGTCGTGACCGTAATATAGTAGTGTCATTTGGCGGCAACTGTCCAGTCAGAAGGCTCTAATCGTAACCGTTATTTTGTGTTGTCATTTGGTGGCAGAACCAAGCGGACGGAGGACTCGGGCCATGTCCATCTAGGCATGTGATTTCTTTGATTATGAATATAGAATTGTATTTGATATGACATTCACTATTTGTCAGCTGAAGTCAATAAAAAAATTGTCACCATTAACAGATTGTTGAGTTTTCTTTTAGCATTTAAGTGATTGAATTTTAGCTTGTATTTTAGTTGATTATTTTGAAAATTATGATTTAAAAGTTTGACTCACTCCGGTTGAAATCTTCAATCAACATGGTCATCATCAGATACTTAAGCATTTTAAATTAAAGACGATCCATGACTGCTTTTTTGATTCAATGCATTAAAGCGAGATTCAGAAAAAAGGGAGTTTACGTACATACAATACAATTCTTATATATTTGCATGTCTACATCTAAACTTTGATATTTACTTATATATAGTACCATAGTATCATAATCACATCAGAACATATACACTACAACATGTCTTTCATTTTAGAAAAACTAATATTAATCGCATCTTTTATGTGATTTTAAAGATTTGTGTGATATAATTAAATAATAAAATTTAGATGTTAAATATGTAAATACAAAGGATTTATGTGACATGTATGTAAATTCCCCTTCAAAAACTATTATGATGTTAAACTTATACTCCTTTCCCTGTTTTATTTAATTATTCTGCTGTACTCATCCTCCGTTTTTCCTTTGTTTTATGTTATGAAAGATTGAAAGGTTATTTTGGAGAGCTTTCAATCCACCCTTCTGGCTCTTTTATTGTTGAGAAGTGCTTTGCAGCTAGCAATATCTCCATGAGAGAGACAATAGCAGCAGAGGTGCTGGATGTGCAGCCCGAGCTGTCCAAGACAAAGCATGGGCCCCATTTATTGAGGAAGCTAGATATTGAAGGGCAAGCACATTATCCTTTCCATTCTTAAACATTTTTTTCTTGTAATTTTTATTTTTATATTGGATTCGGATCATTTTCGGTATGTCACCCTATTGCTTTCATCATAATACCACCCCACCCCCACTCTCTCCTAAAGGATAGAGAAACAAAAGAATTTAGTATTCCTGCATTTATATTTGGGAAATTTACATAAGTAGCACACAATTCTTTCATATTTACATATGTATGTGTACGTCATTTTTAAAAACTGATGATAGTGCTATTTTTATGTGATATTAAATATTTGAGTGTAATGTGTGTAAATATAAAATTAGGTGTGACATGCAAGTACATAGGAATTGTGTGCTTTTTATGTAACAGGTTTACATACATACCACTCAATTCTTACATATTTACATATCTAATTCATAAACTTCAATATATATATATATATATATGCAGTGCAGAAGCCTTGGCCACTTGGTTGGTAGGGTTCTCTGTAGTCCCCTCAGGTCAAGAGTTCGAATCCCCGTGGCGCGGTGGTCCTCAAACCAGCACATGACACGGTCGTTGACCCCTTCGGGGCTTAGCGCAAGGGAATCGGTATTTAGGCCTCCGCCAAATACTAATTCTTTCTAATAAGGTCCTTTCCTATTACGAAGAGGTGTATTTCACTACCTAAAATTTAAAATAATGGTATTTGTGATGTGATATGAAAGATTTGGGTGGTATAAATGTAGAAAACAAAGTCTGCTAGATATCTAAATACATAAGAATTGGGTGGCATGCATGTACATGCCCCTTATAATTTCTGCTACTCATGCAATAGAAAATTATTTAGTTCTTCTCTGTACTGAGTTTGTGTATGGTTGTGATGACTTGCTTGTAAGTTAAAACATAGAATTCTCTTCTTCTACTTGCAGGTTTGGTAGAAATCCCGAGCAGTGGAAATCGAGCCAACAATCAAAAGCAGCCGCCTATCGAGACTTCCTCGCCGCATTCGGAGATGCCGATCAAGCTGCAATAGCTCCAGAATCTTCCCCTAAACCTTCCAAAATGAAGCGTAAAAGGCAAGAAATGATAACCGGACAAGCGAATTCAAGCATAGAAAACCATCCAAATCCAACATCTCTGCGGTCAGGTAATGACAACAAGAGACGAAGCTCTTCGAGTTCCCAGGCCATCAAGTTTCTATCTAGAAAGAGTTTCGCATCGAATAATAGCATGAAAGCTAGACCAGCCATGCAATCCAACAAGACGAAATCATCGACTTACGAGCTTGCTGATCTCGCTCTCAAATCCAAGCTTAGTCAAGGTGACCTTCAGAAGCTGTTTGATCCAAAAACTTTGGGCAGCGAAAAACAAAATGGAATCCCTTTTCTAAGGAAACATAATAGGTAACTCATCCTAATTTATGTTTTGTTTTTCGAGCTATTTAGGCATGACAACAGAAGCAGCAATGAGCATTTTTTATGTAATGTATTTTTCTTTCTTTCAACTTGGTAATCTGCTAGGCTGTATTACAATTTTTTTTTTATTATTAAGATAAGTTTTAAAAAGAAAAGTGGAGAGTTGCGTTAGGTAGCCGACAACCAGCTTTTTTTTTTTTTGCCGAAAAGTCCTTAACATTGAATCTTTTAAATCATTGACCTCTTTTAGTGAGATAAAGACTTGTTGTTGTTGTTGTTGTTGTTGTTGTTGTTGTTGCTGCTGCTTATTCAGACTTGTTTTAAAGTCATTGGATTTCCTTTGAATTTAGTGTAATGCAAACTTTGTTTTCCTTGTTTTTTCATGTTTTTGCGGTTATCTCAAATGTTAATCTAGTAATTTTGAAGCTCATTTTGATTAAAATTTGTTTCATTTAGCCTTGATACAGTAGTGTTGATTTGTCAGCAATTAATTCCCCTATCTAAATTAAAATGGGAGGAATGCACAGCCATTTTAATTTTCTTAAGCCTGCCTAACAGACAAGTTTATGTTATGCATATCGGTAGGCTTTATAAATGTTAGGCATTCTCAGTCAAAACTATTCATTTAGTTGGTCTGAAACGTTTTTCATAAGAATTTTTTGGTGAGTCTCTACCTGCTTTGTGACCTGTTATTGTTATTTTTGGGAAGATTTACCTGCATACCTCTCAATTCATATGCATTTATATATCTAACACCTATCCTTCCATATACATGAAAATGTGTGTCACTTTTTAGAAGTTAAAATTGTAGTATTTTTGTTGTGATGTGCAAGTTTTGGCTGGTATAAATGTCAAAAAGTAAAGTTTTTTTGTCAGACATGTAAATACGTAGGAATTAGGTGGCATGCATGTACATGCTCCTTTTTCCCTGGAGGCAAAGCTGTCTTCTTTTATCTGTAGCTGTGGGTGCCACATGAATGGAAGGGCATGTGACTATATTGTGCAGAGTCATGAAAACTATGGGCTCTAAAAAAGCCTATCTTGGACTGCAAAATTTGACTCCAAGCTTCACTTTTCATGAATAACAAATATGACCTTCCTACTTTACATCTTACCCTATATTTGGATTTTATTTTTTAGTGTTGGCTTGAAACCTAACAACAAATTTTTTTTTTCTCAAAATTAGATTTATTACATGTGCCTTGAGTGCAAATTTATAATCTTTTTTGGCCATTTATGTAGTATTGACATATTTCACCCCTAATTTTCTTTATATTTTCAAATCATGCAAAGCTTTAATATCACATAAATAATAGTATTATTATCACCTTTTTTTTAAAAGTAAATCATTGGAAGGTTTAAAGCACCAAAGGCTATGTATGTAAATATGAAAGCAGGTCTGATTTGTAAATACATGAGATTTTTGTGCTAGGCATGTAAAATTTTTCTCTCCTCTTTCGGAAAGATTCAGTAATGGTTATGTTATGGATTTGAGACAAGTTTGGCATGGAATTAAGTATTTTTGAACTGTAAATAGTTATTTATTTGCTTTCAAAATGAAAGGTGTGACTCAATCAATACCAACTAATTCCTATGTATTTATATATCTAACAAATGAACTTTTATTATTATTTTTTTTTAACATTTATGTATTCCTATGTATTTATTTCAATCAAAATGAAAGCTGCACTAATCTCAAAGCGGTGGGAATAAATTTTCTTAGAAAACTGCATTTTCAAAAATTCAAGAAGCCAGGATAAATATGGACTTCCCATGGTATATTCCTTCCATCCTTGTGAATTAGTGTTGACGTTTGGTGCATTGAATTATTCCCCATATTTGTCCTTTTCTTGGTGGAGTATGGGCCCAGGAGGAATGTATGGCCAAATTCTCCACTTTTAAGATCATGTTGTCTATGCACGTTCATATTTTTCTTTCAATGGTGTTCATAAAGTATTCATAGGAATTTAAATTGGGCACACCATGTTGAATTGATGTCATTTTTAGTCATCGGACAACGCCTCTAAGCCTAATTGCCAGCCCTCAAGGTTTTAGGAGTACTTGTCGAAAGGTACTAATCTTCAACATAAAACTCATCAAACTCGATGACTCCACAACTTGCTCTACTAGGTCCGTTATGTAGAGTTGAATTCAAATTTGTCCTATAAATAACACCGAAAAAATAAAGTATAGGACAAGAGAGAGAGATAGAGAGAGAGAGAGAGCGCAATAACAAACAATAGAATGAGGAAATTTTATTGATTCTCTGATTAGCCTTTTTTTTTTTTGTAGAATTGAACCCCTTGTTTATAGGAGGGGGTATCGTGTGCATAATTGCATGTTTATTCCAATTTTAATGGGGGTGTTACGGTGTATTTTGGGTATTTATAGAAATGAGCCTATGAATCAGTTCCCAATTGCTCGGTCGGCTGAGATTAACGGGCCTGGGCTTGCAAGGCTCGTTCGGTTGGCTATGTTGACTTGGGGGCTATAGATCAGCTCTGGTTGAACTTCAATCGTCCGAACTTTGCTCGGTCGGCTCGAGTCAACCGATTGGTTGCTTTGGTCATACTCCTTAATGAGGAGCTCCTGTCGTCAGGATGAGATTAGGTTGTCGGGCATAGAGCAAATCATGGTGATCTGATAGATAACTCATCTCTTAACAGAAGGTTTCTTTGGGTTGTTCACAGAGTCTATAGTGGTGAGCACGTTTGATTTTTTGATGAAGAGTATTGGAGACTCTTATAAGGTGACTGATGATGATATAGCGAGAGTTGAGCTGATTTCTTTTCTTGACTCGATAGATCCTACTCATTGGCTTTGATGACCTTCATTTGATTGACATCAAGCAATCTCGACCTAAATATTTGTACTTGGACAGTTAGGTCTTTGATGTTCCAATGATGAGATCTTTCGTCGTCCTTCTATGGGTCATGTTTGACCGCACATTTTTGCCTCTTAGTTCAGTAGATTTCTTCCATATTTGTGCCGATGAATTTCTGATATCATTTTCCTTCTTTGAATATTGGTAATTTTTCACAAATAATATTAGATGTAGCATCTTCTTTTGTGTGTTGAGCTTGGTCATTACTTGAGATTCAAAGTCGGAATGTGTATCAATTTCAAGATTGAGAGATGTTCTCGTAATATAGTAAATTTGTCACTCTTTTAAAAAAACTTTTGAACTTAGAGAATCATTTGATGAGGACATCACAGGAGAAATTTGAAATTTTATTTTTGAAGCAACTCTTTTATAGATTCCTTCCTCGGTCACGAATCTTTCGTCTTTCTTAGCACCAATATTGCTCAAGTTGACGAACTTTTGCTCCAACTATATCAGAGGATGATGAGCCTCATCTTCCTCAGGAAAGTGCAATGAAGGATCCTCTATATTTTCATAAAAAAAATTGTTAGGCATAACTTGCAAATGCTTCATCATATAAGATCATAGAGACAGCGGTTATCCAAAATTTTGGCGAAGCATTTTCATAGAAGGAGCCAAGTTCCAACTCATCATATTGCTCAATTAGACTCTGCTTTGTCCCTCATAACGAGCGATGTGGTGAATTAACATATCTTCACCATTATCATGGAGGCATCACTAGTATTTCCCTCCCCTTTCTCTAGAAAGCACATCTTTCTCTTTTCCTTAACTTAAAATTATAGTTTATCAGATAATTTATTGAGAACACAAAAATCCTTAAAGAACCAACAAGTCTCTCCATGACTTTAACACCCACTTTTTCAGAAAGATGATGAATGTTTAAGGTTTAGAGCCTTTTGCCACCCATGAAATATTCATTTATGACCTTCTGAAATATACACTCTGCCACGCAATAGACTTACACTAATCAAAGCCATTGATCAAGTTAGTCAAGTTGATCAATATTCATGGTTTTATAAATTGGATTGGACTGGCCAATTCGAAGAATTAACGAAGAATTATCCCACCAATTAATTCCACCTACTTTAAAAAATCACTCTGTTCAAAACTAAATTGAATCGAGCATAATTAGTGGTCCAACTAACCTTCTTTTTGTTGTTGTTTCTTATTAATCAGACAAACTAAAAATAATTTAAACTAACTAAATTATAATAAAAGGTTTAATAGCATCAATACCAACTTACTAAATTCATAATGAGAAGCCAAATATGAATAAAGTTTATTAAACAGATGCCGTGCTTCAATTGCTCATTCTAAACCGTTTTCTTCCGAAGTTTCACATCAATCCTTTTAACTTAACAAACTAAATTACAAAAATGTCATAATTAAATTTGCTTTATATTATCAGCTCACTCTTTAATATATATATCTATTTAATTTGTCATTATTTGTATATATATATATATATATATATATATACATATATAATTTGAATTAAAACTAAAATGTAAAGCCAGGTGGCTTACCGTGTGGCTATATCAGATTAAACGACCCTTCTACGTGTGTTTGAGGAGATATTATTACCTATTGTGGTGTGACCGAATTGACTTTGTCGTCCGCACATTCAGATTTACAAACATAATGTTTTTTCGTGTGTGAGACAGTGACCAGCATGACAATAATATTTGTTGAATCCTGATCTTGCATGTGAATCACACTAAATGAATAGAGCTTAAGTCAGGAGGGGGAGAGAGAGAGGGCCGGGGGCATAGTAATGAACAATAATATAGACGTAATAAGGGTATTCCTAATCCTCTCGGGCTTGCTTTATTCATAAAAGGATTCACTATTTATAGGAAAGATTGTATAATATCTGAAATTATATGTACGTCACCACTTTAATGTGCATGTTCGGTAATAATTTTGATATTCTACATATATGAGCTTGTTGTTCGGTTGTTTTTTTGGGTTAGGCGGCTTAGCTTAATCAGCTTCAGGTTGACAGAGATTGATGGTGCAGCTTAATTATGTTAAACATAATTACTGCCTGTGTAAATATATCATAAAATAATATAAAAAATTGAAATTTATGTCTTAGATATGTAAATACATAAAAACTGAGTGGCATGTAAGTAATTTTCTTTGACTGTTTCGTATGCGTTGAAATCACATTTTAAGATCACTAATTTTTTTCTCCTAAGTCACTCAGATCGACCTAAATGTGTACGGCACAGAATTTTTTTCTTCACCATTGCAGTACGATGGGCCCCACAATCCCATGAGATCATTTGGGCAATTTATGCTTATCCAGATAATTAG